GGTGTTGGGGGGGTTGGTGGGGGAGTTGTTAGGTGGGGGGGGGGCGGGGGGGGTGGGGGGGGGGGGGGGGGGGGGGGTGGGGGGGGGGGGTGGGGTGGGAAGAAGGGGGGGTGGGAGGGGGGGTGAGGGGCGGGGGGAATGTTTACTGTTTTTTTTGTGTTTTTTTGTTTGTTTTTTTTTTTCCTCTTTTTTTTTTATTTTTTTTTTTTTTTTTTGGCTTTATTATTTACTTTCATCTTATTTTGGCTGCGCGCTCAAACGCGACTGCTGACTAAGTGTGGCCCTAGGCGCTGCCTAACACACGACGCCACCTGCACTCCTTAATTACTCCAAGCTACAGTAAATCGTTGTTGGAATGGCGGAGTGCACGGTCCTCGTGAACGTGCCCTATGTCAAGTGCGGTTTCATCTTGTATAGAAGGAGCGGCAACCCAGCTACCGCCCTGCTTGCCTCTGTAGGCATTATTTTTCATTCCACAGACTGTATGCCACTGCGGCGCATTATAAGGGATGGGTGCCTGCTCCGTTCATGATGTGCGGCTCCCGGTCACCTGCCTCCCGCTATTATTCCTTGGGGGTGTGTGGATTGGGTTCTGGGTGATGCAGCGCAGGACAACAGTTGTCTTTAATAGCCGCAGGTGTACTATTGCTGTTCTATGGAGGCCGCAGTGAAAAGTAACCGTTGTTGGATGCCGTCAACCGAGTGCATGCGAAAGTAACCATACCGCGTGAATATGTTATCGTGCATCCAAAATTGCGATTTGGTTCGTGAATTCGCTAACAGGATAAGTTTAATGGAACGTCTCGAAGGGGATTACGCCCATGTAGCTAGTAAAATCCTCCAGGAAGGCAATAGTCGAGCAAACCATATGTATCTGAACATCAGTTTGTTAATCACAGATGTAGCTCTATGAAAGCTGGGCCAAATACTAAATAGTGCACCAAGCAAACAGATATTTGGTCATATATGACACTAACGAATGACGCACAGAAACCCCAAAATTCATGATCTGTTAACACAGTGGTCCTTCTACCACCTTATGTTTGCGGACGTTAAAAGTAACCTAGATCTCGCAGTAATTTCGGACCCTCACAGGAGAGATGGCAGTGTCAGGGGATAATTGTTCACGGAGTGGAACACTGTGCAATCGTAATCCAAGCATGTTTTGAACTGCTGAGCCGAGATTGCACCCCTGATACCCTCTGGCAAACTGATCTAAATATTGACCGCTAGCAGTTCAAAGTACAGCGGATTAGGAGAGCGCTGCATACTATGAACAGCGAGCCTGGCCTGGTGTCCGCTTTTGCCGCAAGGTATTCGCAGGGAACCAGTGACCTCAGCATGTAGCCATCTCCTAGATAAGGATGCGGTTGGTCACAATGATGCCTAAACCCACCCGACCACTGATCCGAGTGCCCAGTCCAAACCTCCCGCAATTTCGTCGTAAAGTTAGTCTCGAAAACTGAGGATGAGTCTTGGCAACTTAGTGGACCCAGTAGATCCTCTGCGCCTTACTTAGAATGGTCGGGCAATAGTTGGGCAAGCTGCATTCTAGCCTTAGTCAAACGATGCAAAGGAGGAGAGAGGCGGGCACTTCAGAGCAGCTGCAGCAGGTGTATTTGAGTGTGATTAACATGCGCAGTACCTTAAAACATGGCTACTTCGCAGTTTTCACCCACTTCCAATCGCGGTTCCTATACTTAACCAAAAAAAACCCTGTGGGGTCCCACTTCAACCTGCTTTTTCTCACTTGCCTAGTCCTACTTCGTTACCTATCCCTTTGGCTCTGGCTTTCCGCTCCCATTATTCAACACTTACCTCCTAACTCCAGCGACTCACCTCTGTCATTGTAGCCCCGTACTTTTGTACTTGAGCCTCAACGATTTGGCTTGGTTGCCTGCGAATATCCTTACCCTAAAGCAGACATCGTCTCTAATTGTTGTTCCCTGACTTTACCATAACAAAACTGCATATGATCTCTTCACCTCTCTTTGTACCCTTTGTCCTCCTCTAGTCCTTCACTTAACCTTTTGGCTATGACGTTTCTCTCCATGGACGCACCATCTACCTACGCCGATCTACCCACTAACCTGTAACCATGTAGCTGAGCAGTTTTGACTTATATACTTTGCAATAAAGCACAATATATCAATCACCCTTGCAGACATCGTTGGGCAGTTCCACTACTTGTTCTTTTAACCACAACAGCATTGCATAGGGTATCTTCACCTCGCGTTCCTTTAATCTCTAAAGCACGAGCAAATTCTGCTACACATCTAATTAGGCTTTAACCCACACAACGCTTGGCGTTCAACTGACTTACTTGTGACACT